ACACACACACACACACACACACACACACACACACACACAGATGCTGAAATGTGGTGAGAACACATATGTTTTGAGAGCCACAGCTCCTGGCTGCCCTTGTCCAGCACTGACCATTAAACGTGGTCCAATCCAATCGCGGTCCTGGCTACTGTAACCTTGGCCAGACCACAATCTGCTGTGGCTGTGGCTCCCCGGCTCCCAGCATGCCTCGCTGCCAGAGATAATCTGGGCCGGCAGACAAGAGGGGATTCCAACTCTCTCTCTTCCTAAATTGCCCTCCTCCGCTCGCTCGCTCTCTCTTCCTCCCTGTGTCCGTCTGCCTCTCTCTACCAGTGAGCGGATTAGATGAGGTGTTGGTTGGAAGCAAAGCATCAGTCAAGCTTCATTAGTATGAATTTATTCATGCCCATATGTCTCCCCCCATCTTTCTCTTTCTTCTACCAAATCCCTCCTTCCTTTCTTCCTCCTGTCCTTTCCTCAATTCCTCCGTCCTCCTTTATATCCTTTTACTAGTTCACTCTTGTGTTCTCAGCTTTCCATGTTGCAAGCCCGAGCCTCTGCTGTAGCCCCACACCCAACCTCAATCCATACCTGCTCCACATCTCCTCATCCGTCTGTCACTCAGCTGCTCGTCCTGTCTCTCCGAGGAGCTTTTGCTTGTTTCTCTAAAGTGATTTTTCCAGAATTTGAAAGGTTTCACTTCAAAAAGCTGAGTATCCGCTCTGGCAGTAAGGGGGAGGGGGGGGGAGAAAAAAGTCAAATTTAGCAGCACAGATGAATGCTCTTTGTTTTAAATGGTACATTTTCACAGAGGATGCGATCGAATGTGTAGCGAGGTGGGATTTTAATGTCATTTTGAATACTAGTGACCTGTTAATTTTCTTACAGTTATCCAGACAGTCAGAACACTTGGGAAACTTACATGATTAATCGCTTTTTTTGTTGTTGTTGATTACAAATTACAAAGCATTTCATATACTGACAATATATAATGTCATTTACAGCCGTGTTTCAGCCTGGTATTAACATGTGGTCAGCATCTGAATACATGATGTGCACCATGACGTGATTATGGGTCTTTATGTTTGTACCTATTGATAAGTGTTTTTATTGGAAAGCACCGTGTTAACCCCTTCAACGTTATCATAAAAAACATCCTCAAATTCAGTCACAGCTGTAAATCCCAACAGCGTCATCACAATGAGCCACTGGCATCGACGCTATGGAACCTGTCCTAAAAACTCCAACAACACTAGAACCATTTTAACTGGACTGGTACGAGGTGGACTCTTCACTGAATGTCCCACACAAGCAACCTTTAAAATAATTGTGGCCGGGGACTTTTTGAGAACAGATACATCCCGGGTTCAGTACAGAGACCTTCAAAAGGGGTTTAATACAGTGTCTTCATTTCTGCTTGTAATTTCAGGCACAGCTGTACTGTAAGTCACGGAGACTTGTAAAAGAGCTTTTGGGCAAACTTGGCAAATGCCAGCAATGTGTGGCACCTGTGCATCAAGCGAACTGATTCGTTGTTTCACGGTCCTATCGGGAAAACAGGTGGGAGTGGAGATGAAAAAAAAACATACCGCGTGCAACTATAACATAAACCTGGATATGTGGTTTATAACTAATGAGGCAAAGCTGTCAG